GCAGGGAGCCCGATGCGGGACTCGATCCCAGGACTCCAGGATCATGACCCGAGCCGAAGGCAGTCGCTCAACCAACTGAGCCACCCAGGCGCCCCTTGTTCTAAGGATTAAATGAGAACTTGTATATAGAAAGTTTCTTGGCATAGTCCTTGGCACATAGTAAAAAAACTTCTCAGTAAATGGTAACTCTTATAAAGTTGACCACCAGATTTAGTAAAAAAATAAATAAATAAAAGTTAACCATATGCTGTTTACATGAGGCATTCTCACACAGAAAGGTTAAAAACAAAACAATGGGACATAAAGTCAAGAAATGGAAATAAGAGAGAGCAATATTAAGTGTTAGACAAAACAGAATTCAATGCAAAAAGCATCAAAGGAATCCTATACTGAAAAAAGATGAAATCCATGAATAGATAATAAATTGTGACATGCCAAATAACTTTAAAACATGTAGTCAAAATTGAGAAATAAAAGGAAAATTTGACAGAAACACAATTGTACTTGGTCAACAGTACACTGTCTCTGAGTAAAACAGGGATATAGGAAGTACATATACTATTAAGTGAAACCAATATATATGAATGACTGAAAACATATATATAGACTGCAAAGATATACCTTTTCCCTCCCAAGAATCCAAGGGGTATTTCCAAAGATGGACTATAAATTAACATATAAAGAAAACATCAATATAGCACAAAGCAGAATCTGCTAAGATCTTACTCTCTGTTTAGAAGGAAATAAAATTAGTAATCTTAAGAAAAAATATAAACAACAACAATAAATCCAAGCACCTGAACCTTAAAAAACCCTCCAAATTGTTGGATAAAAGAAGAAATTAAAAATAATTGCAGAATAGTTAAAAAGCAACAGAAAATAGAACACTAGACATTAAAGATCAGAAATATCATTCACAGCCTTTTCAAGAAATAAGAAAATACTAATACAATTATAATAATAAAATGAACAAATTTAATAATTATAAAACCAAAAATTAATGAATTAAAAAACAATGGTCTCATATCGAACAAACAGATAAAATTTTAAATATCATTCATCTGTAAATACTTCAGTAAGCAGCTGTAAAAGGATTCTTCTCTAAAACATCTCAGTTATATCAATAAAAATTAATAATTCCTTAATGTCATAACATATCTAATCAGTGTTAAAATTTCCAAGTCTGATAAATGTCTTTTTACAATTGTTTATTGGAATCAGGATCTAATCAAGATCCCCACACTGTATTTGGTTGACATATCTCTCAATTTGCTTTAATTTGTCAAATGCCTCTCCCCCATATTCTGTCAACTCCCATATCACCAGATATTTGTAGGAAAAAACAAGTTAGTTATTCTGCATCTGTCTGATGTCATTTAACACATTCTTCTATTTCCTATTAAAACAATCTAGTAGCTTTATTAGATTCGGGTACAGTTTTTTTTTGTTTGTTTTTTAATCTGAATATGGTGGTACTGTGTACTTCCTACTTCAACCAGGAGGCTAATGATGTCTGGTTATCTTTCTTCTTGTGATATTACAATTGATCTGTTGGTTCATTAAGTGTCCTCAACTTAATCTATCCATTATGAAATTCCTCATTGATCTAATGATTTTAATAGCCACCACTGATGGTTACTGCTTAGAGTCACTATTTCATTAGGAGCTGCAAAATGGTGACAGTCATATTCTATCATTACCCTAAAATATAGTTTGTACTAGAAAGGCAAGACAAACATCTGGTATTTTTTCTTCTTATAAACAGTTTTTAGAATGACTTTATGTACTAGCACCCTCCAAAGGTGACTAGTACTTTTTTTTTAAGTATCATTATGAGTTCAGGGGTTTTAACATATTTCATATGTTTTAATCCATTGCAGTCATTCTTTGTCATGTCTAAATGACACATCTCTGGTTAATAGGAAACCCTCCAATTGGCTCTGGCATCTTTTTGATACTACTCCGTTATTATTATAGGGCTTTTATACTTCTTTCAAGATTTTATTTATCTGTCAGAGAGAGAGAGAGAGCACCCACAAGCAGGGGGGAGGGGCAGAAGAAGCAGGCTACCCTATTAGGGGACATGTGGTTTGTTTCTAGTCTTTGGCTACTACAAACAGTGATGCCATAAATACCTTGCACATGCATTTTGCTTTTTTCCTAGTGTACTTCTTTTTTTCTGTTTGTTTTTTTTTATTTTTTTATTTTATTTTTTTTTTTAAAGATTTTATTTATTTATTTGAGAGAGAGAGAATGAGAAAGAGAGCACATGAGAGGGGGGAGGGTCCGAGGGAGAAGCAGACTCCCTGCCGAGCAGGGAGCCCGATGCGGGACTCGATCCCGGGACTCCAGGATCATGACCTGAGCCGAAGGCAGTCGCTTAACCAACTGAGCCACCCAGGCGCCCTGTTTATTTTTTTTTTTTAAAGAATTTATTCATTTGTCAGAGAGAGAGGGAGAGAGAGAAAGCGTGCATAAGCAGGGGGAGTGGCAGGCAGAGGGAGAAGCAGGCTCCCTGCTGAGCAAGGAGCCCAACTAGGAACTCAATCCCAGGACTCTGGGGTCATGACCTGAGCTGAAGACAGACAATTAACCGACTGAGCTGCCCAGGCATCCCAGTAAGATTTTAAGTAATCTCTACACCCAAAGCACGGTTCGAACTTACAACCCCAAGATCACGAGTCACATGTTCTACCATTAGAGCCAGTAAGGCACCCCTCCCTAGTGTACTTCTGAACTACATTTCTAGAATTGAGATTTCTAGGGCAATGGATGAACCCATTTCATGTTTTGTGGGTGTATCTCTCTTCACTTGACTATGGAAATGTTACAGCAATTATCTTTTTTTTCTCTAGTACTTTTATAAGAGCTTCCATCAACAATCCTCTTCTGTTTCTCGTCTTTAAATTAGATGGGTTCTCCTGCTCCTACGGGAGGACAATCCTGTGTAAGGGCATGCCAAGACAGCTTTCTGAACCTCATGGCTCTAAGTTCATGCTCCACTGTTACCACAAGGTATGTATTTATGTATGTAGGTAGGTAGGTAGGTATGTATGCATATAAATTTGTGTGTATGTGTATAAAATCTTAAGTATATTCTGATATCTGCTTTCTCTAGTCCCCTCTCCCTCAGTTATATGAAAACTTCTCTTTTCTTTACCTTTAATGTCCTTGTTTTGCTCAATATGAACTCTACTACTAGTCTGAGTGAAGACTTTTGTTTTGAAAGGGGCTTTGGTTGATTAGTTTCTAGAGTTTTGAGGGCTCAGGTCATCTCAGAACTCTCTTAATTTCCTGAGTGCCCCTGGACTCACCTACAAATTAGAGCCTATCCACATTATTTTCACTTGTTTTTCTTTATTCCTTCTTGCATCTGTACCATGCTCCTTCTGTCCGGCATTATTTTCCTTGTGCCTGAAGAACATCCAATAGAGGCAGTCTTCTGGTAGCAAACCCAGTTTTTATCTGAAAATATCTTTAATTTTTTATGTAAGGATATTTCACTGGTTAAAGAATTTTAGTATGGGGTCATTTTAGCACAATACATTGTTTCAGTGTCTTCTGGCTTCCATTGTTGCTGTTGACAAATTACTTGCCAGTCTAACTCTCAGTCCTATAATGGCAATGTGCCTTTTGTTTTTCTGGTGGATTTTTTTTTTTTTAAGATTTACTTATTTATTTATTTTAGAGAGAGAAAGCAGGGAGGGGCAGAGGGAGAGGGGAAGAGAGAGTCTCAAGCTGACTCCAAGCTGAGTGCAGAGCCCAGTGCAGGGCTCAATCTCATGACCCTAAGATCACTACCTGAGCTGAAACCAAGAGCTGGATGCTTAACTGACTGTGCCACCTGGGCGCCTGGTTTCTGGTGGCTTTTAAGAGTTTTTTATTTCCAACTATTGCTTTGGACTGATTATCTCTTTTACACTATTCTTCTGGATAAAACTACACCTATGTTAGATGTTCTCACTATATCCTCTATATCTCTTGCCCTATTCTCTCTATTTTCTGTCTTTTTGTTGTCTGTTTCATTATGGATAGTCTTTTCAGACTCATCTTCCAGTTTATCAATTCTCTTTTCAGCTTTATCTAAGGTGCTAATAACCCCATTTACAAAATCCTTAACTTGCTATATTTTTCAGTTTAAAATTTTTTCTTTAGTTCTTTTTCAAATCTACTATCTCTTTTAAAGTTTCTAGTTCCTCATTGAAATTTTCAAGCATGGCTTTAACTTCCTTGAATGCTGTATAAATAAACAGAGTTGGCTAACAGTTTGTGACTGATAATTGCAGGATCTGTCTCTGTGAGTCAATTTCTTTGGTCATTGTTTCTGATGATTCTTGCTCACATTATCTAGTTCAGTTACCCTTTTGCTTTTTGGATGCTTTATTTAAAAAGTTAACTGTAGAAATAATTGAAGGCTCAAAATGACATTATGTTCCTCTAAGAATTATTTTCATTAGTTCTTACTAGGTGTCTAGAGACACTAGAAATCCAAGTTCAAGGCCTGAAAACTCAGGCTACGATCTCTGAGAAAGTGGATTTATCTCTAGCTCACCCTTACTCCTGGGGTGCAGCCCTGTAGGGTTCAAGCCCTTGGTAGAAAACCAAACTTTGACTTTTGTCCCCCTAGTCTTGTGATGCTGCCAAAAGCATAGTTCGTTTTTTGCTGCCCCTTCAGAAATGGCAAATACCATTCAGGGCAAAAATGACTCTGAGTGAAAGACTTACCTCTCTGGATTCTGGTCTTCTCTAGTATCTCAGCCCTGTAATTCCTCACTATCTTATTAGCTCTTTGATGATTCTAAGAAAGAAATTTTTATATTTTGTCCAGCTTTTTTTAGCTGTAATCAGTAATGGCAAAGGTCCACATTACTTGGTCTGCCATTACAGAAAGAAGTTACTGTCACTTTTTATCCCTTTTTACCTACTTCATGTTTCTTCATAGTGCTTATTACTTCCTGACATTCACCTCACACCAAGTATAAGATAGATTTAAAAATGTAAAAAGGGGCGCCTGGGTAGCTCAGTCG